CTTGCCTTGAAAACTGCAAAGGACTCATCCAAGCAGTCACTGCAGAGTCGGTAACGACTGAGCGCAGATTAAAAAAACAACAACAACAACCAAGCTCAGAGAGCACCAAGAACTCCAGAGAACTAGCAATAATAGGCACAAAGAATAAGACTGTCTGGTGATTTCTATTTATGAAATGTATTATGTCTACTTTCTTGAGTTCCTGGAAGAAAGCCACAATATAAATCTAGCAAATAAATAAATAAACTGGGGTAATCAGATCCCATAATTATTCAGTTGCATGTATTGTCCTTTTCCACAGACAGCTTTATGTCTAACATCCAGTAACTACTGTACCTTACAACCTTACAATTTCATTCTACACTAACTTTGATCATGGAAATCAGAGCAGTGCAAATGACCACAATGAAGACTAAAAACTAAGTCTCCATTTATATCTATTATGCAGGTGTATAATAATAAACTTCTCTTTCAGCATTCATCTACTGCCATCCAGTGGAGATTTATTGAAATAAAGAAAGCATACAATCCTAAAAATTTCTTTCCATTTCAATATAATTTGTATTCAAACAGGACTGTCACAACTGGGCTGCAAAAATCTGGACGATTCTTACATAGCAGGAAAGAGATATCTAATTCAGAGTTGGATTTTTTTTTGGAAATTCCGGAAGATATACAGACACAGAAGATATGGTCACTACAGTACACAGAAATCAAAGCCTTTACTGTATATAGGTCAGTGTTGCACTCTAGGCTTCTTCCTCTACCTTGTTGTGTTAGCAGATACTTAGCTATTCTTTTGGTGGCACTAGGAAACACCTAATCTATGCTGATGTAACATTTCTCTCTATTCTGAGAACTGATGCTTCCAGCATCACCATATTCATTACTTACCATTATTACATCTCAGGAATGTTCTTTTCCAGGACTAATATTCTAGCCTCAGTATCTTCCTTCAGCTGTAAGAATTGGATTCTAACATGGATATTCAGCTACTGTATGAATCTCAACTCCATCTCCAAAAAGCACAGATCTACAATCATCTCTCAATTTCCATGAGACCAATCTTCATCCCTTCTCCAATGGCTGGAAGCAGGGGAACTATTTTCACTATTCCCTTTGCTCAGCTTCAGCTGGTGTGCCAGTTATGGCTTCACCAGGACTAAGATTCCCTGGCAATGGTAAGTCATGACATGGTTGAACTACTGCAATACATTTATCCTTTGGAGGGAACTTGGAATCTACTGCTGGTACACAATGCAGCAGCTAGACTCCTGATGGGTCACCCCATCAAGCAAGAATGCCTGTTCTGAAGTTACTGCACTGGTTGCCAACAAGCTTCTGGGTTTAATTCAAAGTTCTGGTTTCCCCTTTAAAGCCTTTTACAGTGTAGTTGTGAGACACATCAGACAACACCTTGCCAAAGTCAAATCTGCCTATCTGGTCTAGTCATTTAGAGAACCTGTTGGCAATTCCCCATTTTGTAAGGTTTATCAGGCTTAGATCAGGCAACAGGCCTTCTATTGGGGCTACTTCTTTTATGGAACATGCTCCCACCTGAAGTAAGGATATCCCTTAATCTATAATCTGTCCTTTCAAAAGAGGCCAAAGCAGCAGTCTTCCAGTGAGGAGCTGGCGCTTAGATAAGTGAATGTTACCTTTGATGCGTTTGTTGTTTTAATGGCTTTTTTTTTTACTTTGTTGAGACATACCTCCCCCCTTTAAGATTAGAGCAGGCTATAAATATTATAAATGTCCTTACATTGAATGATTAACGCATTAGTAAACATGCTGTCAAACAAGAATTCAACATAGTGGACTAAAGCTATTTTTCAGTGCACAGGAATTGCTTCCAAAAAGCATGGGCTCATTCATATATATTCACCACGTAATTGCCTCTACCTAGGAATCATAGTTCTAACAATAGGTAAGAAAACCTTATTTTGCTTTTGTTTTCAATGAGGTTATGGCTACAATATTTGATATCTGAACACTGATGAGAGGTTCTTTACAGGTAGTCCTCGGTTAATGCCAGCAATTGGGACCGGAATTTCCGCTGTTAAGCAATGTGGTCATAAAGTATGATATCACATGACCACATTGCTTAGAAACAGCAATCCCAGCAGTCCTGGTTGTCATTAACCGAATCCTACCCAGTCATTAGGCGAGGACCCACCCCAATCCAAGCCATTTCTGGCTTGTTCCCTCCCAGCCCCAGTAAGGTAAGGGACTGTCTACTCTTCATCTACCTACCTTCCCTCCCATCTCTGCCCTTTTGGCCACCCTGAGTTCCACTCACCCTACCACCCCCAGCTGACCTTCACTGTTTTCTTCCTCCCACAGCTGACAAGGTGCGCCCAGCCTGGCCCTTTGCAAGACAGCTAACCATGCCAGGACTTCTTCCCAAGGCCGCATGCGGCCTTCTCACGAGGCTTTGAAGCCTTCCAAGAAAGCACCCGCATTTTGATCATGCAACAGTGGGGAACCGGCAATGGCCGTAACTTCAGGGACCAGGTATAACTATTTATTTAGTGTCGCCATAACTTTGAATGGTTGCTGAATGATTGTTAACTGAGGACTACCTGCGCTTACATTATCCCATTTGATGAATTCATAGTAGTTATGATTACATAAGCTAAACAATTTTGCTTAAAAAAATCAGGGTTCACACATCAATGTAAAACTAAACAAACCATGTTATGATTTAACACAGTATGTGAAGATATCCATCATCTTTGCTCCAAAAGGTAACAGAGGAAAACATTTACTGTATGAAAATGTCTCTGCTTTACTGGATGCATAAGCTTTCTTCTCTATGTGCAGGACATACTCGCGATTAATTAACCACACCAATATTTTGCAGTTACTAGGTGGCGACTTGGTGATTCTGTACAAAAATCGCTAATATCAAGGAAGAAAGATGTAGTTAGGAAGCCACCTAGCTTAAAGTTGTCCCCCAATGGGAAGAACACCTACCCCAGAGAGCCCGTGCGTGCAAAAACCCTCCCGCATCCCACCATAGGCTAGTTCCCAGACTTAAAGATGAGCAGAAACTCAACCGCTGAGCCTTCCCTCCCCGCAAAAACACGGTGCAGAATTATCCTGCTCCTGTCTAAGGTACTTCCTTGCTGAGTCGTGCTATATAAAGTGTTATGGCTTCACGAACTATATGGCAACGCAAAAAGCATTGGCTTCTGAAAAGGAGGCGAGCCCGTCCGGTTTATTTCTCTGCCGACAAGCAGAAACGGAAGGGGAAAGCGCCGCGTTTAGTACCAGCAAGGCGGCTCAGCCAATACCTGCGCAGACAGTGCTCGCACGCGCCTCCCAGGCGCTTCTTGCTGACGATGTAAGCGAAGGGCGCCGCGCGGTACAGCAACTCGCCCGGTTTCACTGCCTTCAAAAGGCGCAGGCCGTTGCCTTTGCCTGGGCTTGCAAACTTTTCCATCGCCGCTCCGCAGAGCAGGGAATGAACAGAGGCCTTGCCGCCCAGCACGCTTCCCGCCTCGGTCCCACGTGACGTTGTTTGCGACCGGAACCATCTTGGAGCAAAAAGAGCCCGCCTTTCATTACGTTCCGCGGCGCCGCGCTAGTTTCGGGATTTGCAGCTGCTGCTTCTCTCCATCCCCGTTACTAAAACGCAGAAAAGGATTGTTATAAATTAATGAGTAAAACACTTGTGTGCAGCGTGTATAGGACTGTGGATATCAAGCTCCGAGGAGGAGGGCATATTTGCATATTAATGTTCCTATATTTCTCACATTAATTTGGATAACAGTTACTTGGCCCCAACAGTTTCAGCATGTATCTTTGTTTCTTGCTTTTAATCGTGTGTAATTTTCAAGCAAAAAAAGTTATTCCACTCGGATGGCAAATAATACAATGCACATCTCCTTGAAGTGGGTAGGGAGCCTAAAACACCAGGTTAAGGATGTTAGATTAAAAACTCCAGGCATTAATATAAATCCCTATAGTTTTTGAGAGCCAATTTTAACCAGTGGTGGTTAAAGCATTAGGCTAGAAACCGGGAGACAGTGAGTTCTAGTCCCACCTTAGAGCCAGCTGGGTGACCTTGGGCCACTCATTCTCAGCCCTAGGAAGCAGGCAATAGCAAACCACATTCAAAATCTTGCCAAGAAAATTGCAGGGACTTGTCCAGACAGTTGCTAGGAGTCAACATTGACTCGAAGGCACCAAAAAACAAAAAGGGTTTTGATACAAATGATCTGCTAAATATGAGTCCCTAGAAAGGGATTTAGAAATCTACCCGCTGGGTTCTTGCATACTTCTCACTAGAACTATTTTTTTTTTAGAGTTGACTTGAAGATCAGTTAGCACTCAATAAATGCCAAATTGGAACCATTTTTTTCCTTCCTAGCGTTCTTCCTGCATGAGCAAGGTCTGCTTTTTTCAGATCAACCGAATGTTGATCCGATGGCTGCGACAGACATCCGGGGCTGAGGGAGAGTGACTGGCCCAAAGTCACCCAGCCGGCTTTCATGCCTAAGGCGGGCCTAGAACTCAGTATCCTGGTTCCTAGCCTGGAACCTTAACCACTAGACCAAACAGGCTCTCACCAAATTGGAACAATACAGAAGTTAAAAAGAAATAGCAACTGGCCTGGTAGAATCTTAAGTTGGAAGAGCTTCGTTAGGCCAGTAAGTCTGATGCCCTGCTCAGGACAGGATTCCAAGTTCAAGCATCCCAAACAGAAAGCTCTCCAGCCTCCATTGGAACACATCTAGGGAAGGAGAGTCCCCCACTTCTCTTGGTGAATGTTTCCGATGTTGAACTGTCCTTACTGTTTTTCTAACTTTCAGTTGAAACCTGCCCTCTTGTAGTTTAAAACCATGATTCTGTGACGTGCCGTCTGGAACAAGAAAAAAAAGTCTGACTTTTTTCTAAGTGACATCCTTTCAGATATTTGAAGATTGCTATCATATCCTCTCAAAATCATGGCTAATAAAAGTATTGCCTTTTATTTTGGACTTTTAATTATTATTTTTTTAAAAATACCCTTTAGAAATACTTCATGATTTAGACTGTATCTGTCATATAGCCTACCTAGATAGCTTGTGAAAGCAATCATCGCCCCCATCAATGGCTCACATGGCAGATCTGAATAAACAATCTTTGCCCCCAACAGGGGCTTCCATGGGGGGGGGGCTCAAAAAAGTCAAGATGGTGGCTATCATCAAATGATCAAAGCTCTCCCTTTTTTGCATTTACCTTCACCTACTTCAGCCCTTACCTTCTCAAAAGCAGACTATAGCTAGCAAAAGATGGCCATCTCTAAATTAAAATATTTTATTTATTTTTATTTTATTTATTAAATTTGTATGCCGCCCATCTCCCCCAACGGGTGAGTCTGGGCAGCTCACAATTAGAGTAAAACCCATAGTTAAATAAATACCCACATTAATTAAAAATCAAGCTATATAAAACAAACCCTATGCATAAAAAAACTAAAAACATTCAAGATGAAGGGGTAAAATCAGTTACCTCACAAGCCACTTCCAGTGGTGCGAGCCCCCATCCGGCCCACAGGCCATCTGACATAGCCAAGGTTTCATGCTTTTCCTGAAGGCCATGAGAGTGGGGGCACACCCCACCTCAAGTCTAAGTTGTTCCACAGAGCGGGGGCCACAGCAGAACAGGCCCTCTTCCTAGATCCCACCAGTCAAAATTTCTTGACTGGCAGGGACTGCAACATGCCCCTTCTGCCAGACCAAGTGGGGCGGGCAGATATAACAGGGGCAAGACAGCTCCTCAGATAACCTGGTCCTCTGCCATGAAGGGCTTTAAAGGTGATCACCAACACCTTGAATTGGACCCAGAAGCAAACTGGCAGCCAATGCAGCTCACTTAACAGTGGTGTTATATGGGCCCCCGGGGGCATTCTACACCAGCTGTAGCTTCCGGATACTCTTCAAGGGTAGCCCCATGTACCGCACATTGCAGTAATCCAACTGGGAGGTGACCAGGGCATGAATGACCGTGCAGAGGGCCTCCCAATCAAGGAAGGGGTGTAACTGACGCACAAGTTGCACAAAGGCCCTCCTAGCCATAACTACCACCTGCTCTTGGAACAGGAGTCGTGAGTCCAGGAGGACCTCCAGATTACGCACCGGGTCTGTCTGGGGTAGTGTGACCCCATCAAGAACCAAAGATAATAAACTCCTAGATCTTGAGGCTCCCTGTGCCCACAGTCACTCCGTCTTACCAGGTTCAGTTGAAGCCTGTTGTCCCCCATCCAGGCCCCTACAGCCTCCAGGCACTGCAAAAGGGTAGCCACAGGATCACTTAGGTCACCCGGGATAGAGATATATAGTTGAGTATCATCAGCATACTGATGATACCTCATCCCATTTGCCGGATGATCTCACCCAACAGTTTCATGTAGATGTTAAATAGGAACGGTGAAAGCACCGAACCCTGAGGCACCCCACAAAGTAGGGGCCGTGGATTGGACCTCTCACTCCCTATCAACACCAACTGGGTTCGGCCTTGGGGAAAGGAGCTGAACTAGTACAGAACTGTGCCACCCAGCCCCAGCTCCTGCAGCCGACCCAAAAGGATACCATGGTTGATGGTATCGAAAGCCACCAAGAGGTCAAGAAGAGCAAGGATGGATGCACTACCCTAATCCTGCTCTTGCCAGAGATCATCTAAAAGTGCGACCAATGCTGTTTCTGTCCCATAACCAGGCCTGAAATCTGACTGATAGGGGTCCAGATAATCCGTTTCCTCCGGGATCCTCTGAAGCTGCTAAAATATTAACAGTAATATTGGTAAACTCATGGTAAACTTGAGATAGTATAGTCCGGTTCATATGTAACTATAAGCTAGAATTACAGTACCAGTTTAATATACTAAGCCAGCAAGGATTTTGAAGCCAGGACTTTGTTCTCAATTTAATCTTCTTAGTTCATTTAAGAAAGTATATATTATTCTGGTATGGGGAAACAGACTGATCATAACAAATCAACCTGATCTTTTTTGATAGAGTGACAATTTAGTTGACTAGAAAAATATAGTGGATAGTTTAACTTGCATTCAACAAATTCTCCCATAAAATCCTAGAACAGGGTATGGCAAAAGATGAGCTGGACTATGGTATCATTAGATGAATACTGAGTTGAACAATCACATCCAGAAAATGTATATCAATGACTTCACTTCAAGCTGGAAAGAACTGAGCAGTGTACCAGAGGGCTCCATTCTAGGCCTCGTGCCATTGAACATATAACCACCATTCGTTCAGCGACCATTCAAACTTGTGACAGTACTTAGGACCTCAGTTCTGGCCATCTCAGCATCCCCACGGTCATGTGATTGCGATCTGGATGCTCAGTGCCTGGCTCACAATTACACTGCAGTGTCCCATGGTCACGATTTGCAACCTTCTTTGCCAGCTTCTGACAACCAAAGACAATTGGGAAGCTGGCAGGAGATCACAAATGGCATCCATGTGACGTCCTCACCTAATGACCTGCAGTGATTCGCTTAACAGCAGCAACCAGGACTGCTGGAATTGCCATTGCTAAGCGGTGCAGTCACATGACATCATGCTTTACAACCATGTCACTTAGCGTCAGAAATTCCAGTCCCAATTGCCATTGTAAACCGATGACTACACATATTCCTTTGTGGCTTAGCATAATACTGTATAGTATACAAATGAGATCATATTGCTAAGATTAGCCTGTTCTACAGGTAATTCATTCTCTGTCACACAATATGATTTTTTATGTAATAATGGAATTGTCAGGCAATACACCCCAAGCAATTTAGATGTACCATAAAATAAAATGGAAATTTCTTGTTAGAATAGGCAGTTCTCTAATATTCAACCCTAAAAAAAATTAGTTTATGTGGTCTAGTTAAAATTGCTATAACTCACAACTTAAAAGACCAATTATCTTGAAAACATACCTAAATTACGCTTCTTAGTACCTAAGAGAATTTCCGATGGAATATCAACATGTTTCCTGCACTGGAACTACAATTTTTATCTCCACATACATTTTCCATTTCACTTTGCCCTGTGCCCATGCACAATTTCTTAAAATTCCCAGGATTTTATTATATAACCATCTTTAAATGTTATATCTGAAGAAATCTGATCTTATAAACTGGTGAAGAACACCTCTCATTTTAAATTAAGAATGCTTATTTTATGTAGTATAAGTAATGTTGGTCATCTCACAAAGTGGAATACAGTAAAAGCTGGATACAGACTAAATGAGTTGCATTTAAGATTAAACCAAAAATGCCTTTTGTTGCTCTCATCTATGTTTTTCATTCACTGTTACCCTGGCAAAATAGTGGTTTAGAGGACATCTGTTTTATACAGAACTGATGCAGCATGTAGTAACTCTATATAGTTTTACATCTGTTTGTTATTTTTCTGAGACAAACAAAGCACATCACATTTGACCTGTTTTCCAAACAGAGCCTGCCTTACAAGGTCTAAGAATAAAGTTAATTTGCTACAATA